TCCACACCTACTTCAACTCACTTCACATTGAGTCTTTGCTTTTTTAAAATAATAATTTAAAAAATCCAGTTCAATCTTTTACGTGTGGGACTATCCCCTACTAAACCATGGTGGTCTGACCTAGCAGGGTCGTATCTTTAAAGAAAAAAAAAAAACTCTGTCTTTCCCACTAGTTATAAATTGTAATAGAGCCTCAGCTAGGGGTGAGACTTCATGCCTACCTCCCCTGCTACATGCCAGAATTTTGTCTGGCTTGAGCTTGCTCACGTCTAATGTATGCTGTCACAGTGACATAACATTATATCCTTAGATTAGTGCCATCTCTCAATCCTCATCAGAAAAGCTTCTACTTGCAGTAGATGTTTATTAACACGGAGACCTAGAATTGATCAGTATGGCAAGAATAAGAAACTGGAGCATGCTTAGTCCAAATGGGACATCTGTATCACACCCCATCCTCCCAAGGCTCATGGAGCATCATGGCAGAGCAGGTGGGAAACTGTAAAAGAGATGGTGGATGACTTTAAGAAAACAGTGTTTTCTAAAAAGGTAATACTTGCTGAGCACTTTGTTAAACAATTCACATTTTAATTCTTGTTTAGTCCTGAGAAAAACCCTATGAAGTGTCCCTATCTTGTCAATACTTATAGACAAGTAACTGTCTAGAAAGGTACAGAGGAGCCACAATCTGAACTCCAGGGAACCCTAAGCCTCATGCTGTGCTGCATCTCTGATACAAAATTTAAAATGATGAGTTAGGCAAAGGAAGCAAGTTATTTCACATAACTGGAGGGAGAGAAAGAGCAAATAGAGATTCTCTCTTAAACTCTTCGATATAGCTTCTACTGTGTAATTGAAACACATTGTAACCCCTATGAAGTATACTTGTTTATTATTCAGAGGTAAGTACATGGACATATGTTAATTCAGGTTCATTGGAAACACCAATGCGTATCTGATTTAATTTCACAAGCCCAGTATTCAGAAGCAGAAGGATCTCGAGTTCAAGACCATTCTGAGCTACTTTTTTAAAAAAAATGAAGGAAAAAGAAAGACAGCAAAGAAAATAATATCCTGTCTGTCAACAACCCAACAGGACAGACAGTAGGACATAGTTTTGCTTTGTTTAACCAATTCACACTTCATCACAGGAGGTGGAAGCCAACAGCCTCCATCCTTCTAATTCTTGATGAACTGACTCCCATCTAGATCCTAACTAGGCAGAGAAATAGATATGAGATATCTACATAGAACCCATTGAACAAGTCAGCCATATATCAAAGAACTATATAGTAAACAAATTAAGGCTAGCTATCTGGGTTGGGAATAAAAATCTTTTGTGATCGTTTTCTGATTCCATCGGGTTCAGGGATGTAGTCAATTCAAATGAAGCTGGGATGGTCCCATCTGCCTTTCAGATTGATTTTATTCAACCATTTGCCTTGGTGCAAATAAGTCTGATTCACTCAGGAAATCTTCAAAGAGGGGAAACACAATGTCATTCCACTGCACACTTGTAGAGTGGCTGGAATCCAGGCACTGAGAACATTAGCTGCTGTAAGGTCATGGAGCAACAGGAAGTGGTGGTGGGAGTGCCCAGTGGCACAGCTTCTCTGCTAGACTCTTCTCTTCAACTGCTTTTACCAAACTGATTGTTTTCATAGGATTCAACAATCACTCTCTTGCATTTACCCAGAGGGATTCAGAGCTTAAGTACATACAAAATTGAGCACATGTTTAGGTGACTTTGTGCATAATTTCCAAAACTTGGAAGCAACCAATATAATAACCACCTGTCTAATAGAGAAGCAGATAAATTCACTGTAATATATCCAGAAACAGGAATGTTATTCAGTGCTAACAAGAAATATAGAGGCAGGAGAAGACAGAAAGGAACCCGAAATGCGTACCAACTACTATAAAAAAGAAGCCACCTTGGACATGCCATGTACTATTCTTTAATGCATAATAATTATCTATTCAGTTATGACTAATGTGATAGATAGTCTTCTAGTGGATTTATTTTATTTTGGTATTATATAAAGCATTACATATTAGCTAACATATAGTTGTATTTTAATAATCCCTAAAACTAAAGTCTCTTTAAGATTTGATTTTTAAAGACTCCTGTAGAAAGGGTTGGGGAAGATACCTGTCAGTAAAGTGTTTGCTATGCGAGCAAGAGGACTTGAGTTCAGATCCCTAGCACCCACATAAAGAGCTGGAGATAGTGGTGTGCTTATGTAATTCCAACACTGGGAAGGTGGGGACAGTCAGATCCCAGGGGCTTGCTGGCCAGGCAGTCTATCTGAATCCATGATCTCCATATTCAGTAAGAGATCCTGTCTCAAAATCTAATGTAGAGAGCAGAAAGTGTCTTAGCTAGGGTTTCTATTGCTGTAAAGAGACACCATGACCAAGGCAACTCATAAAGAAAAGCATTTAATTGGGGCTGGTTTACAGTTCAGAGGTTTAGTCCATTGTCATCATGGTGGGAAGCATGGGGACATGCAGGCAGACAAGGTGCTAAAAAGGTAGCTGAAAGTCTGCATCTCAATTGACAGGCAACAGAAAGAACAAATGAGCCATTGGGCCTGGCTTGAGCTTCTGAAAGCCACCTCAGTGACTCATTTATTTCAGCAAAGCCACACCTACTCCTACAAGGCCACACCTCCAATAATGCCACTCCCTATGAGTCTGTGGAAGCCTTTGCATTCAGACCACCACAGGAAAAATGGTTGAGTAAGACACCCAACCTCAGCCTCTGGCTGTCTTGTGCATGTGCACCCAGGCATGTGTACCACATACACACATATGTCACCCGAACACGTAGACACATGCAAGCAAGGACCTACTGTTCAACTTCCAGAACTATTATTGTATATTACTTCATCAAGTCACATAAACGTGAAGTATATTATCAGACTAAAAGTATTTACAAAATTAAAAATTAACTTATTGATTTGCTCTCACGTTTAATATCTATGCCTGATAGGTTCACTATTATGGTGAGATTTATTTCTTCTTTCTCAATGGTTTCATCGTTATTTGAAACTATAGAATTGTAAAGCACAGAACACATATGCAAATACACACACAGAGGAAAAAAGACCTTCCTTATACCCTTTGTATACTCATGGGGTGACCCTCTGAGGTGAGGTAATAAAGTGGCTGGGGCTATAATGCAGACATGCTCAGTTCATGTCACACACACACACACACACACACACACACACACACACAGTTCTCCTGAATGCTGCCAAACAAGCCCAGGGTAAAATTGTTAAGGAAGGACATTGTCTCAGGTTCCATTGTTTCTTTGTTAATCAACTCAGTCATCCTTTGAGCTGCCTTCCCCAGGCATCCTCACCACCTGCAGGCTGTGCTCAGTGCAAGGAAGAGAACTCAGCATTCACTCAGCAGTGCCCTGCCCTGGGAGTCCTCCCCTCTGTCTTTCTGGTGCTTTCCCCATGGGAGGCACAATACACAAAACACTACATCGTGCTTTCCAGATTAAAGAATTTGGGTTATGTGAGCACTGTAAAGCTTTCTTCCTTTTATGTTTGCATTATGTGCATGAGTGAAAACACCTCTTGTAGGCTCTTAATGAATCATCAGTGTTCCAACCTGTGTGCATGAAGCCTCCCTCCTTATGTTTGTAAGCTGATGTGGGAAATGCCCCTGGAGATCCCTGCATACATCCTCAACTGTTCACAAAAAGCCTTTTTTCCCCTCCTTTATAGGGCATATTACTCAATTTTGAACAGCAATGTTTTAGTAAATCTATAGAACCCTAAGGTAGCAAGTCATATGTTAATTAACGCTCCTCATTCATTCAGCATTGATGTGGTGAGCATTTATGGTGAGCACGGCATTGCACTTGGGATGAAAGAATATTGGTGAAACAAATGAAGACTATAGTCTTATGGGACCTTAGAATGTTGGGGTGGGGAGTAAGTATGGCCAGATTGCAGCTTGAAGCAGTGTGGTTGAGCACCATTGACAGAGTGGCAGGGCGCAGCCATGTGTCCTAGCACATTTCTCGGATGAATAAGTTTTCTGGAATATGAAAATTAAATCATGGAGGTGCCAATCTTTCAATCCCTGGTAACATAGAAGTCTAAAGAAAGACAAAGAAGCCCTCACAAATGAATCATCTGATTTTCCACATAAACGTAGCAAGCAGTGTTAAGATGTAGCTTTGCTGCTGCTGATGCCAACCAAGAGTCTGTGTATTGATTAGGTGCTTTGTTCTCTCTTCAATTTAAATACTTAAATTGTCCCCAAAGTTAATGGGCAGCAAAAAGGACATATATCTGGAAACATATCATAAAACATCTCTTGCATTCATCTCTAGATTTCAGTTTTCTTTCAACAAATAGAACACTACAACATAATGTGTTTTTCACTGTTGTTAATCAAAGACCTAAGTGTGACATGCTTTCTGTGGTCACCTGTGCTGTGCCTCTCACTCTGAGTGACCTTCTTGCATCTCCAGAACTTACGAGACAAAACTGCTTGTGTCGATTGTTTCAGCTTCTCGTCGAGTTTCAGTGCCTTTTATGTGTTTGCAATCTTTCCCTGTTGAGTAGAATACTTTCGGTGTTTTCTCTATCAATACTGCTGCCCTTTAAGACAGTGGTAAAATTTAGTTAAGTCTCAGGAATGGTAATCATTCTAACTCCACGAGCACATGACATTTTTGGTTTTTTTTTTTTTTTTTTTTAAAGAAATGTCTGAAGTACCCATTATGAAGTTAAAATTACCCTTCCAAGATTCTATCCTTTGAAAGCAGTGCATTCACTTTCTTATGGGTAGGATATTGAAGCAGTTGCAGGGGATGGAATCCAAGAAGAGCACTTAGTTTTCCTCCCCTTTTGTAAGCCTTAATTCAGTTCAGTGCAGCTGTCTGTAGCAGGTTTTCTGAGGGAAACAGTGCTTGGGCTCAGACAGTGGAACCTGACTCCCCAAGGCCAAAGCTCTTTCCCTTGTTCTTTCAGATAAGGAGACAAGGAGGCATACAGCTCCTGGTGGACCTACTGGATCACCGGATGACAGAAGTCCACCGTAGTGCCTGTGGGGCTCTGAGGAACTTGGTGTATGGGAAGGCCAATGACGACAACAAAATCGCCCTGAAAAACTGTGGTGGCATCCCAGCACTGGTGAGACTGCTTCGCAAGACCACAGACCTGGAGATCCGGGAGCTGGTCACAGGTTAGACTTCTTATTAAGTGGTTCGATTTTATCTCAAGATGCCTGTTTCAGTATCCAGCCCAGTAGCAAATGTGAGAACCAAGTATTATAACTTACAGCCTCCCAGAGCTGATAACATAGTCATTTTGCAATTTCAAATGAGTCAGTAAAATACCATCAAAGGTAACATACGTAGGTTGATCATAATCAATAATTAGAACCGAGTAAATGAGGCCATCACTAGCATTCTGTGATCTTAGTTCAGTCCTTGTCATTTGCTTTAGCAGTAGTTGAGTTTCCTACAGTACCCACAGGCCATCATTAGAGTAACATTAGAAATAACTGATAAGGGGACAAGGCCTTCAAGCTATTGGCAATCAGCCATATATGTTCTGGTTTATGAGTACACTGAGCATACTGTGCTTCTAGTGCTAATTGATTGAGTAAAAAAACCCTGCATGCTCAACATTCCAAGGTTAGATTACTGAATATTAAAGAACTGTTTGAAAGTTAACTTGAATGCCTTTCCACATTCATGGAACTTTGGGTTTTAGACTTAATAATAGTAGCTTGTAGAGTAATGAGAGTTTAAAGAGGGAGAATGTTGAAAGCATTCAGCCCATACCTTTCTTGGAATAATTGGGCAGAGTAATCATTACCCATTAACTGTCATCCCTCACTTTGTAAGTGTGCAGTCTTGTTGGAGTTCTAATGACACACGTGTCCCCAGTATGGGACTCAAATGGCTCTGAAGTTCCCCCTTCTTCATTATGCTCACTACAGTTGTGGGTGGTTTTGGCTTCTCGTTCATTAAAGTACCCCTACAAGCAAGTGTTTGACAAATGAATTGCAAATGCGACTTCCCCAAAAGATCCCTTAATTATCCACTATACCATCGCTTTGACCTTCTGTCTCAGGTCTAAAATTTCCCTGTATCTATGCAGATGAAGTATGTGAAAAAAATTACATTTAAGGAAATGCATCGCACAAGCTACAGAATCATAAATAGCCATGCAAGGCTGGCTCCAGACTCCCAGTCTCAGTACATTTCTTTGTGTTTTCTTTCTTCAAGGTAGTGGTTCTATCTCTTTCTTGTTTTTAGCTAAGTTTAAACGAGACCCAAATCGGCTCCTCTTTTTTTACGTTTTGTTGTTATGTCCTCCCCTAACCCTTACTTGCTTGCTGGCTTTATTTCCTCTTCATTTTTCCATAAGTAGAGGGTTTTCTTTGTGCAAATAATTATTGGCAAGGGTTAGAGTATTATTAAAGTAATGTTTCACAATGAAGTCAGATGGGTCAGGCGAGGTAAAGTGGTCATTATCTGCATTTTGTGACTTTGAGGACTGTTTCCGAGGTGAATTACATAATCTGAAATAATTCCCTGCCATTATGGTTATGCAAGACCATCTTTATTTTCACTGGTTGTGTGTGAGTTAGAAGTGCCTGGGAGAAAAGGACTGAATATGTGTGATGGAAACAAGATGCTTGGTGCGTAGAGATTCTGCTACTGGATACAGAAAGCCAGGGGAATGGGAGTCTTGCACAATACCTTCTGCATGTGCTGTACATGTTATTTCAGGCTTGGAAAAGACTTGAAATTAAGTTACCTTTGTGTTGTCTGCAACTCAAAACCATGATCTGGAAGCTGCTTCAATAGCATTTATCGCGTTACCAAAGAAATGGTGTGAAAGTTGGAGGTAGCTGATGACTTAAATGCAGTGGGCCCATGGCATGGCACAGGAGCTGCTGTTGGCACTTGAGGTGGCAATAAAGGAGTCAAGAGAAACTGTAGCCTTCCCCAACTGCTTTTGGAAGTTCTTGGAGACCACCATTTTAACCCCAAACAATGGCAGAAATGTCTCTGAGCTCCACTTGGAAATATCAAAAGCATACATCCTTCTTAGAAGGTTAAGAAGATTTCACTTGTGAAGCTCGGGCTGTGGGAAAGATGTAGTACTTGGCATACAGACAGACCTTCCCTTTTCACTCTGCTTCTCCTGAGGAAAGCCAAACAAGAATGTCCCCATGGTAGCCAAAGCTTTCTTCTCTTTCCTTACTGAAAGGAACACTGAATCAATTATGAACAATCAAAGTTACTACCCTAGCAGATGTTCTCTGCCTTCCCAGAGGCAGAGTGTTAGATTCTCACTGTAGCTGGAGTTAGCATTGTAGGTGCTGTTAAAAAACAATACTGCAGTACCATCTCGCAGAAGGGATTGGGAAGAAAACACCTGTGAGGACAAGCTTGTGTAGAGGGATGGGTGCTGGGAATATAAAGCCTTCTAAGTTTTTCCAGTGACAGAGACTTGAGGGTACCAGGAAGGCTGCAGGACTTAGCTGACTTCTGTTTATACATCACACCAGTGATCAAGACTTACCAAAGCCAATCCTCTGGCCTAAGAAAAATGAAATGAGGTAAATTGAATTCAGAGAGCCTTGGAGACAAATTTGCATCTTCAGCACTGGCCCATATTCATCTGCCAAAGAGGGCTTTGAAGTGCTGATTCTGTGGACTCCTGCAGAGCTTGAGGAATTCAGTGTTTTATTTCAGCTAACCCAGTTTAACCCCAAGGTCACCAAACCCTCCATTTCTCTTTCTCTTTCCTCCTCTGAGACATTTGTCTCTGCCCAAGCCCAGTGGTCTCCTTGGTGTAATAAGCCTGCCTGTGTGCTCCCAGGAATATCATGCTTTCCACTCATCCCTCAAGCACTTCAGAGTGCACAGATGTTAGGTGTTCTGCTAAGCCTTGCTGGCTAACTGACCCTCGATCTAGAACTCACTGCCAGGGTGAAGCTCTGCTCTGAATGGCCAATGCCTGGGTATTACTGAGTGATAAGCATGTAAAAATACTGTGATGGTTTAAATAGGAATGGCCCCCATCGACTCATGTGTTTGAATGCTTGGCCTATAGGGAGTGGCACTATTAGGAAGTGTAGCTTCATTGGAGTAGGTGTAGCCTTGTTGGAGGAAGTGTGTCACTGTGGGAGCAGGCTTTGAGGTATCATATGCTCAAGCTATGCCCAGTGTGGCATACAGTCTCCTTGTGCTGCCTTCAGATCAAGATGCAGAACTCTCAGCTCCTTCTCCAGCACCATGCCTGCCTGCATGCTGCCATGCTTTTCTCATCATGATGATAGTGGACTAAACCTCTGAAACTGTAAGCCAGCTTCTATTAAATGTTTGTAAGAGTTGCCATGGTTATGGTGCCTCTTCACATCAATAACACCCTAAGACAGAAGTATTCTGACAAATGTGTCCACATTTTATAAACTTCCTAGATGAGCAGTGAAGAAGTCAGTGTCTATGGAAGGTATAGAGGGATGTAAGAGTGGCTCACTTCTCTTCCTTTGCTCCAGGGAGCCTCCACAGATCCTTTTGGGAATGAGGTCACGTGTCCATGCATGAATTAAATAAAATTGTGATTTTTTTTTTCAGTTCTCCAGGAGGCATGATACAGAGTTCATCAAGGACTCATGACATGCTGTGTTATAGGAGTTCCCCTAGGTAAAGGGAAGTTTATCTCTCAGGCTTTCTTCTGCCTCTGAGCTCGTACATCAGAACACAATGCATTGGGAAATGTTAAAGGACCAGAGAGATGGGGGTTCTTTGAAGTCATCCTGTCTGTAGTTAGATATTAGGATCTACAGAATTGTAAGCTGATTAATTTATTGATTTTAACATGTTTTATAAACAGGAATTTGGATGAAATCTAGTTATCCAGTCTTGGAATGAGCCTATGTGTCCATCAGCAGGGAAACGAGTAAAGAAAAAGTGGCACATATACATAATGGAATTTTATTCCTCAGTAAAGAACCACATTATGTTGTTCAATCAAGAGATTGTCATATGAAGCAAATTCAGTCAGGTCCAGAAAGAAAATGATCACCTTTTCTCTCATTTGTAGATCATAGAATTTATATAAATTCATAAAATTTCATATGTATATCCAACAGGAAGGTAGAGGTAAACTCTCTAGGGAAGCTAGAGGGACTCACAGGAGAGGGAGGGCTGAGTGGGGTCGTGACACAGTCAAGTGTCTTACGTACTCGCATTAAAATGTCCACATGAAATGCATTATCATGTACAAGATGAATTATATACCAATTCAAAAAAGACACTGAGGAAGCCAAAATGCAAACAATAGAAGGATAAAATGAAGCATACATCCCACAGATCCATAAATTACTTACTGAATAAACCTTGGAAAACTGTTTGAACAATAATTAAATGTTAAAGTAGAGGTGTCTGCCTGCAGCACACAACCAGGCATGCTGGAAAACACCTGCCTGTTCACTTTGCAGCCACAGCTCACAGCGGCATGTATTTCTTCGCTGCCTAGTAGGCCTGGGGATGCATAATTTTCCTCCTATGCAATAATTACGATGAGATAATGATCAGCATTGTATTTAACCCCAGTTGAAGTTATTCTCTGCTGTCCATTACTCACCATGCTTGGGAGCAAACGGACCAATTAGAAATGTTGTGTGTCCTTTGGGCTTGACGAATGTAAGGTTTTTCTCTCCCTAAATGTGGAAATAATCAACAAAAATTTTGAAATACACAACTGAAGTTTTGAGAATGCTTCACAAATCATAATAAAACAGAATTTTATTGGAGCATAAGACTTGATCAGTACGTTTTACGTTGGTGTCCTTGGGAGCATCACTTCTCCAACAGTAGGGGGTAGTCTGTTTATGCTGTGTGGGCCCAAATGGTCCTTTCTTTTAATTAAGGAAACCAGCCACTGACTCAACCTTGCCAGTGATTTCATTTTTCTTTCTTGGTTTTTAAGTTGGCGTACAAAGTAATGGGTTTTGCTATAGCATTTTCATATATAATATGTCATCACATACACTTCGTCCTGATTCCTCCTACCACCACACTGTTGCCTACTCTCTCATCTTCCTCTTATTGGTTCATTTCTTCCCCATAAATAGTCCCCCTTTCTTTCATACTATGTATTCTGTTACCTGCTCTTTATTTTATTTTCCCATTCCTTAAAATCACTTACTCCCTTCTC